GGGACCCGATCCTTGGGGTGGACCAGTTTTTGGCGCAGCGTGTTTTGGGGTTTAAAAGCCACAGAGACCCGGTGTTTAGAAAAAATGCGTCTCAGTTGCTCCGATACTCCTGACACATACGGGATCACTACAGGTTTTCTCTTAGGCAGCGGTTGTCCTTCTCTCCTGGATCGGCTGGAGCTTTCTTTAGGCGTTTTTCCAGCTTTGACAAAAGTCCAGCTGGGATAACCACATTTACTCAGGGCCTTCTTGCTGTTCTTCTGCCTCCCTGGCTGCTGTGTCTGTGGGGATGGTGTTCGCTCTGTGTTGTAGCGTCCTGATGACACCCAGTTTGTGGGTGTCCTTAAATACTGATCCGTATATGTAGGTTTACGGTACACGTCAGCTTTTAGATGTCCCCCATTACTGATGGAAATCTCACAGTCTAAGAAGGCTAACTTGCCACTTTTCATATCTTCCCTGGTGAATTTGACGTGTCGGTCCACAGAGTTAATGTGATCCATGAATTGTGGAACATCCTGAGATTTGATTTTCACCCAGGTGTCATCCACAGATCTGAACCAAAGGCTTGGTGGTGTTCCAGGGTAGGATAGCAAAGCCCTCTTTTTTGCTTCTTCCATGTACAAATTGGCCACGATGGGTGAAACTGGGGAGCCCATGACACACCCATGTTTCTGCCTGTAGTACTGACCCTTGTATGTGAAGTAGGTGGAATGAAGACAGTTCAAACACACTTGGTCGATGCTGAGAGTGGTCCTGTTGCTGAGGTTGGGGTCATCCTGTAATCTCTTACGAACTACCTCCAACACTTCTGTGACTGGGATGCAAGTGAAGAGAGATGTAACGTCGTAGGAGACCATGGTTTCATCTGCCTCCATCATGACATCTCTCACCTTCTCAACAAAACCCAGGATGTTCTGGATGTGGTGTTCAGAGCTGCCCACCAGCGGGTTGAAGATCGAAGCCAGAAAATCTATCACCTTCTTCCTGTAACCACAACCTGGGTCTGGTTTTAAGACCTCATAAGTATTTTTGTCTATTTCTCATGACAGTCTTTCTGGTTTAGCAGAGCTGTGCACCTACCCTTGTCTGAAGGATGATAATATTGTTGTCATTACTAAGTGATGTGAGTGCCTTCCTCTCCTCCATGCTGCATGGCTCTGTCTTCTCCATTTGGATCAGTTTTGGGTGTCCTCTACGGCGAGATTGGTGATTGCGTCCATCCACCGCTTCTTCGGTCTTCCTTGCAGTCGGCAGATCCAGGGTCAAGTCAGAGGGCTGTTCTTGACACCAAATTCTCCTCACTGCACATGACGTGTCCATACCACTGTAGGTGCGCTTGCCTCATCTTCTTTTCAATTGGGGCAACTTCGAGTTGTTTTCAAACACCTTCATTCGTCACATGATCCAGGCGGGTTACACCCACCATCCACCTGAGCATCTTCATCTCCATCTTCTGCTACCATAGGGCCACCGGCCGTATGACTCTCTTGTTGATCTTAGCTTTGAGGTGTTTGGGCATCCTCTTAACGCACTGGATGCCAGTGGATTCGCACCATTTAGGCCATGCTGCGTAGGCTCGTGAGCCTACATCCGGAGGGTCTGGTGAAACCCCAACACCACCTCCTCATGGTGCCAGCTGGAAACAAGGATCCTTGGTCCTGGGCCAACGGTGTGGGTCCCTGGCGACACATGACGTGACACATCGGTCAGGGCATCTTTTGTCACATCACATGGAACGTCAGCTCGGTTTGGATCAACATGCTAGGGTGTCCCCCCGAGGCGACTCGCGACGTGACTAATATACAAAGGCAGACAAATGGTTAGTATGACACAACAAAGAACTGAAGTGAGACAAAGGATACAACTCTTATATGGCGCTTTTCTACTGTCACTGAGCACTCAAAGAGCTTTATACAACTCGTGCATCCACCCATTCACACACTTTATCTAAGGTTTTTAGTGCTTCTATCTAACATCCACTCACATTCATGCTCTGATGGATGCATCGGAACATGGGCGTTGCCCAAGGCATGCAGACTAGAGCAGACGGGGATCGAACCACTAACCTTCCGGTGAGTAGGTGACCCGCTCTACCACCTGAAATGAAAAGCACAATGTGCACATTTTGTGCACAGCTGGAACAGGTAAAACAAAACACAGGACACAAAGCTAAATACAGTGCACAGGAGGGAAGAAGCTATAATAAAACAGGAAATAACGAAACGTGAACATCTGACATCAAAGCTGACTTAAGAACAGGGAACAGGGTAAGAAGATTGAAGAGTAGGGAATGACTTTAACTGTGGATAAAAGTAGGGAAATCAGAGAGTAGACTCATGAAAAATAAACTCAGATTTAAACTTAAATACAAACTTCAAAGGATGTAAATGAAGAGCAGACTATGTGGAAAACGTCATATTAAACAGAACTAAAACATTATGCTACGCTCAGAATCCAGGACCATGACAAAGTTATGGTGGAGAATAAACAAACATTATTTACACTGTAATTATCAACGATCAGTCAGAGAACTGAAACAACACATTGCCAGAAGAAATAAAGGGATAAGAAACTGCATTTCTTTAATAATGTAAACTATTTTACAACCATCACACTTTAAAATGGGGACATTGAATGTAGATTAAAGAAGGACAAACCTATGATTCCTGCAGGATGATGAATCCTCCATATCAACTATTTATAAACCCAAACAACCCTCCAACAAGAGCCACACACTGCAAACCGGAATGCATCCGAATCACAAACACACAGTGAATCACTCTATAACTATAGCTATAGTATGTCTCATATGGATGCTTAAAACATGAAAATACTGGACACAGTAATATTGAATTTAATCCCGTCGGTACTACAATGAAAATGAAAGATTAAAGAAAATTTCATTAACTTCTGCCTTCGTTTGGAAAAAGCTTGTGTGTGATTATGATTGTGTTGTAAAAAGTTTACACTCTGAAACTTTAATGTAGATATAAATACATTTATTATATTAACAGGCTTCACATAGTCTCCGCCTCCTCAGTCTGCCTCAAAAATACTTTCATTGAGGCGACGCCCATGCTTCCCTCTACCCTCGCGTTGGCCGCACCCCTTATAACCCCCGTGAAAGCTACGTCGACAAACACAGCGTTGCTTCACTTCCGGTCAATCCTAACAAAATAAAACCCAGAATAGGCAACATAACTGCGTTCTAACGCTTAATAGACAAAGTTAATTCAAATGGCCATTTCATCTGTCTTAGCTCAAAGCGATTAGTTTTCAAGACTTTTGAATAATTACAGATTTAACCAGGAGTGCTGTGACTGCACAGAGGCTTTAAATTAATCCTTCATGGACACTGATTTGACTTTTGTTTGGCAATATTAGTAAATGAACACCAACAGGCACGTGATTTCTGTACTCATTAATAGGGGTCAACTGGCAGATAAAGTCTGCAGGGATATTTGTGAACTGAGCAGTGTCTACATTAAATTTCCCAGCGCTGCTGACCAAGTCGACCACGGTGTGGGAGGTCGCCAAGAATGAGTATTTGTGTAGGTGGCTGTCATGTTTCCATCAGCTGCCCATCAGCACCTGGTGCTGAGGGTTATGCAACCATACAACTGGATTTCAGTCATCACGGTGAGCGTATGTAGTCGTAATTTCTACAAAGATCATTCTAGTTGGAAAGGTGGAACTTGTGATTCAATATTTCTTTTTAAATTCTACGCTCGGTTTCAGAGAGGATTAAATGGTCACAGTAACCTTTTTACTAATTCTATATCTCAGTTCAACAATGAGCAGCAAATATTCAACAGAAATCATTTCTGCACAGTTTTCATTTAATATATGTATTTTGAACCCATGAATACTTTCAGCACTATGTATGATTACTTATCCTTATGAGGTTTAACCCACGTGTTCTAATTTAACCTTACTTAACTCAGTCCTGATTATTGTAGAGTTTAAGCCACATTCAGGAAGGACACTTAAATATTCTGTAATGAGTATAGATTAGGGCCTCCTCCTGTACTCCTGGACCAAACCAAGCCTTGTTCAGCAGCAGCTACACTTCCTCCGTGTCCTGAGGAAGAATAACCTGGACCAGAAGCTGATGCTGGCCTTCTACTGCATCCCTTGCATCCCTCTGGCCATTCAGACTGTTAACAAACACTATCCCTCCCACACCCCACCCTACCCACCCACTTACCAATCTGAGCCATGGTCTGATTAACCTTCATCAGTTTCAAAACTGTAATGTGCGCCGTCCTCCTGTTTTGTATATGGTTCTCTTGTTTGTATGTACTCCTCTTGGCTGTTATTAATTCTGTCTATACAACTGTTTATATTTTATTCCACACACACATTCACCAGTGTGTGAATGTGTGTGTGAATGGGTGGATGACTGGATGTGTAAAGCGCTTTTACCATTTACCATTTCATGCACAGTTAGTGTGGAGCACCCACAATTTCACCGTACATGTACAATGACAATAAAAGGCTATTCTACTTTTCATATAACCTATCAACATTTATTTCTTTATATATTTCTTTGTGATGGACCGTACATCATTTGACATGTAAAGCGAATAGATATGTGCTGTAAAGCCAGTTCATTCTAAACTGAACCCTTATGATAGTGCCAGTGTTACAGTTCCCAACATTTTGCAATTCTTCTTCATGTAACGAGGAGCCTAGAAGTCAAAATCTGAACCTAAAATTATCACAACTGACGATAAAATGTCCAAACCATATCATCTATCGCTAAAAATGAGTTTAGTTAGTTACTTAAAATATGCACAGTTGTCAGTATTGTGAGCTCTTTTATTGGTGCAATGTTATTTTTCTGTTTGCTCTGCTAAAAGCCTGCCACATACAGAGCAGCACTCATAACCGTCGGAGGTTTACTACACTATTTTATTTTGGTTCTGGTATTTTATTTTGAAGGAGAAACCCGGGCTTCCCGTAAAACAGTTGCGACATTTTGTAGCTTGGCGCGACTTCCTGGAAGATTGACAGCCCCTGGTTCAGTAACGGAATCGAGAGCTTCCGTTGTTGAGCGAAGCCTGCGTTAAAAAAAGAAATAATTCCCTGCTTTGAAAGTGTCCACGAAGAACGCCCACTCTGGATTTTACACGGACCTACAGGGTATGAACGTGGAGTGGACGCTTCAAACAAAGTGTAAGAGGAGGTAGACCTGTACGTTTGATGGCTGCTGGGGATGGAGCCCAGCTGCCTGCCACAGTAGCGGCCAGTCGTAGCGTGGAAAAAGCGCTCGAGGAGGCTGCCACGAGCGGGGCTCTCAACTTGTCAAACCGTAAACTGAAGGAGTTTCCTCGGAGCGCCAAGAACTATGACCTGTCCGACATAACACACGCAGGTTAGCTTGTTTTTCACTTTTCTAAGTAAGTTGAAAAAGCCTGCCATCATGCTAGCTTTAATTATGAGAGACGCCTTTTGTTGTATCGCCACCTGCTTCTTTCTGCTCAGGGCGAACACTCATCCTTCCCCTCCCCGCCGCGTTGCACAACACTGTTTTCAAAGTTTCCCCGATCCTGTCCTAGCTACATGGCCAGCCTCTCTACGTTTTAACTGACTTGTTTTATATGTTTCATAGCGACTTCTTGCTTCGGCAGGTTAACGTGACTAACCGTATGAACGTCATGTATCTCTAACAGGGATTCAGCCTCGTACAGCTGGCCCGTCTCCCACCGGCCTGAGCGGCGCCGTTAGCGGCCAATATAACTCCCAAATACGTTTCTGCTTAAGAGCTTCAAACATATGAGGTTGTAGTTCCGTTTCTAGTTGAGCACAGTCATAAGTATCGCTTTTAAGAAAGCTGCTATTCTCAGGAAGCTAACTTCCAACGAGAAAAGGAAAAAACGCCAGACGGGTTCCTCTTCCTCAACTTATCATGTGAAACCCTCAACGGGGTTTAGACTTTGTGTTTACCGGTGATTCATGCTAGTTATCATTATCAAAGCAGAGTGCTGTTGGTAACAGAGTAAAAGTAGTAAAAACAGTGAAGTAGGTGTGGATTAGCCTAGCGATGGTGAAAGAGGATTACCTCATCCAAGCGGGTGAAATTAGTCTGATCGCAGTGCTGCTGCTGCTTTGCATATTGTAACCATCTGGCTCTTTGCTTTACGGGCATGAGTGGGGCACTCATGACTGTGGGGGATAGCTGTGTACAGCATTAATGTTGGGATGTCGTGGTTTTACATTAAAGATCAGTAGTGGAAGAAGTGTGAACCTGTTCAAGAACCTGTGTTGGATGAAAGAGTCAAGCACAGCATTTAAAGCCACTACTCTGTTGTGAAATGGGCCCTCGTGGCCTGAAGGAGAGGCATCTGAACGACATCCTCTGCAACAGTGACTTGATCAGCTTGCAGCAGAGAAACTGGACTTGAAACTGGGCTAGCTGGTTAGCAGCATCTGATCTTTCAAAATAAGAGGTGGGATCCAGTAATCCCCAACAGTAAAAATCTTTTGTAACATTTTTTGGGCGGATTCGGTTCAGTGTATATAGGCCCAAATCACAACAGTCACCTCGGCACTTTAGGTAAAGACTTAACGCTAATACAGATAAACCCAAACAACCACATTCCTCCTGATTGTTGGCAACAGTGGGAAGGAAAACTCCCTTTTAACAGGAAGAAACCTCTGGCAGAACCAGGCTCAGGGAGGTCAGGCATGTGCTGTGACAGGGTGGGAGGCTAAAAAATAAAAGCTAAAATAAGCTGCAAAATATACCTGGACATCTATTAGTTACAGTATTGCTGTCCTAATCTTTATCATTTATCTGGGTGTTTGAGTTTATCCATCAGCTTAAGCTCTGCTTTCTCTCACTGAGTGGTGACTGTGATATGAAAGAGGCTACGATGCTTGGATTCTGATTGGGTGTTTATGTCCCAAGGCCTCGCTTAAATGCCTACTTGACACATCATTTTTCCTGTGTGTCACTCAGTCAGTGCTTTTTGATAATAAAGGATGAGGAAGTATTTCAGGCTTTCATCACTATATCATCAAAGTGAATGCCGCTGAGACTGTTAATGATAATTCTGTTTACATACTCTTCACTCTATAAGGTTAAGTGTATGAATTGAACATTTGGAGACTGAAGTCTTAGCAGAGAATTAAATTTTCAGATGCAGTGGTGCACAGACTTTCATATACTACGCGTTTGTGGCTTGATTGGAGAAGCGGTGACACACAGCCCTTTAACAAATGTGTTAGTTGCTTAATAAAGCATTTTTTATTTAAAGTTTAATACATTTGCGAGGCATGTGGCAGAATCTTGAAATCAGCGTTTCAGTTGTCCTCATTAACAAGGCAGCTGCTGACATCTGTCATTCACACTGGCTCACAGTGTCTCAGTTGTTGTTTAGCAGGAAACAGTCAGTTTTGTAGCATCTAGCCTGTATTTGAGTGTCTTGCCTAATGAGATGCTTTGAGTTTCACAGAAGTACCTGGTAGTTGTGCCTCCTGACACAGACGTTATATCAGCAGAAAACTGCACCCACTGATTCTGTGATTGTAAGGGACGTACTCAGTTAGTGCTGATTCACCAAGCTGTTCTGGAGCTATAGTGCTGTGAGGTTAGGTTTCGGCTAATCCCCAAGTATGCTTCAATGCAGCAAGCAGATTAAATGGACTGCTGAGAAACTTAGGTAACTTTTTCTTAAGCATTTTAAGAAGAAAATTGTTGAAGAATTGAAGTTGTCCTGTAGTGTCGTTCGCCACGTCTCCAAATTCCTAATAAAGGCTGCTGGGGTCCTGCTGGTCGTACAGCTATGCTGAGAGCACGAGGGGATTTGGACAGCCGGCACTGAGAACCCCAGCTGCTCACTTGGTGTGTGTGTGTGTGTGTGTGTGTGTGTGTGTGTGTGTGTGTGTGTGTGTGTGTGTGTGCATTTGTTTATGTTTTACATTTTTCATATAGATACAGTTATGTGCCAAAGTCTAGAGACACCCATCATGTCTTCATATTTGGAAATGAAGCGTATAAGGCAAAAACAATACGATAGAGTACTGGTATTACCACCTCGGTCCCATACTGTTATTTATTCTAATAAATCCTCCTCGGTCCTGTCCCTTCTGGTTATTGACAGCTTCTGTTTGTGAGGCTCACACATCAACATCAGAGCTGATTCTAGACCTGACATCTCAGATAATGTTGGAGTAATTATCTTATCTTGGCAAATCGACCGCAACAACATTCTTGCTTTAAAAAAATCTCATGTATTGCATATTTGGTGATACATAAACAAAAGTATGTTAGAACGTACTTTTTGGGACACGTTCCTTCACCATTGCTCCTGGTGATCCTGTTTGAAATGCATTCTGTGATGACTGGCTGCCTCATGTCCACACCACCACCCGTTCAATTGACGGACATCGTTCATAGCCACCAACAGCTTTAGTGAAGGTTACAAATGATCTTCTTATGGCCTCTGACAGTGGACTCATCTCTGTGCTTGTCCTGCTAGACCTCAGTGCAGCATTCGATACTGTCGACCATAATATCCTATTAGAGCGATTAGAACATGCTGTAGGTATTACAGGTACTGTGCTGCAGTGGTTTGTATCATATCTATCTAATAGACTCCAATTTGTTCATGTAAATGGAGAGTCCTCTTCACACACTGAGGTTAATTATGGAGTTCCACAGGGTTCAGTGCTAGGACCAATTCTGTTTACATTATACATGCTTACATGTATAATGCAGCTGCAGCAAGAGTCCTGACAGGGACTAGAAAGAGAGCAGATTTCTCCTGTTTTGGCTTCCTGTTAAATCCAGAATTCAAAATCCTGCTCCGCACATACAAGGTCTTAAATAATCAGGCCCCATCTTATCTTAATGACCTTGTAGTACCATATCACCCTATTAGAGCACTTCGCTCTCGCTCTGCAGGCCTACTTGTTGTTCCTAGAGTATTTAAAAGTAGAATGGGAGGGAGAGCCTTCAGTTTTCAGGCCCCTCTTCTGTGGAACCAGCTTCCAGTTTGGATTCAGGAGACAGACACTATCTCTACTTTTAAGATTAGACTTCAAACCTTCCTTTTTGCTAAAGCATATAGTTAGGGCTGGACCAGGTGACCCTGAATCCTCCCTTAGTTATGCTGCAATAGGTGTAGGCTGCTGGGGGACTCCATTGATGCACTGGGTGTTTCTCTTTCAGTCACCTTTCTCACTCACTATATGTTTATACACCACTACATTCAATTATCAGTTATTATTAATCTCCAGCCATCACACTGTCAGCAAGGGGCAGAGAAAGGGTGATGGAGACCTTATTGATGTACTGCTGACCAACTAAAGAAGTCAATGATATTAGGCCACATGTGATTATCTTATTTTCTGTAAACAGCTCCATAGTATATCTTGTTGAGTCTGGGTAGAGACATAAATCCCTTGGGGGTTCTTGTCCACACTTGAGCAGTTGTGTGTGGGCATAATGTAGGTATGCTAGCACCAACCCCTGCAGGGGCCCACAGTGCAGTGTGTGTCTGCCCACGGTGCCTCCACAGGGGATCCAAGGGAACATATTTGGGAAGTGTTGCTAGAAGCTACAAAGCTATTCTGTACTTTGTGAACTCGGTGAACACACTTTAACACACAGTGGGTAAAATAAGTATTGAACAAATTAAATATATTTCTAAAGATGCTAATGAGATGAAATTCTCACCAGACGTCTGTAGCGACCCATTCAGCCCACGGATGCTAAAGAAATTAATCACAGAGGTCCATAAGTTATGTGTAATAATGAGATCTGGGCCAAAATCACACCTGAGCAATTCGTGCTACTACAAATATATGTACTACGAAAATTGGTGATGTGTTCAATACTTATTTTACCTGCTGTGTGGCTTCAGTATGGATTCTGTATGGCTTCGAGCCTTGTTGTCAGTAGCTGGCATCTGCTCTGTGAGAGAGAGGTCTTATTTCCTTTACTCTGCGGATGTGGGCGGCATGTTCACTCAGTCTTTAGTTCTGCTTTTTCTTCTGTGAGCCTCCCTGCTTTCCCTTTCCGATTACCGAGCAGGTTCTGTTAGCCAGGCACCATGTTTCCATCCAGCTGTCATGTCAGTGTAAGAGACTAAAAACATCACAGTGAGTCAATGAACCAACCAGCAGTTTCCTCAAACATATCCATGGGAATACTGAAGGAGCGTCTCATGAACTGAGAAGACTGGATGGGACATCTCATTGTGAGGAAAAGGCTTTTCTTTTTTGTTGGTGAACAGGGCAGCCTGGTGGTCTTCATGGATGGCTCTGTTAATCCGAGTCTTTCACTTTAGTTCAGAGTGAGTTTTCAGTATGACATCTTTTCATGGTAGTGCTTTTAGTAACAAACAGCTGTTTGCTTTAAAGGTTGCT